TTAACATGATATATACCTAGTAGGCATAAGATGGTTGAAGTTGTAGACTTTGACAAAAGACTTCACTTTAGATCTTTGCTTGATCTTCTTCTTGCTCATACTCCTTGTTACTTTTCTAGGGTATCTATCAATGCCAGCTACCAGTGCATGTCCATAAGGTTTGTCTGTTGTGCCTTCATCATAATTCTAAAGAAATCAATATCTATCAATGATTACATATTAATATATATGAAGCTGATAAATATAGATCTATAAATTTAAATGGGTGTATTGGGTATCTAGGAGAGGTAGCACCTCAAGTGGACAGGCAGTCGTACCCTCATTTTGAGGGTAGCTTGGGCTCACTCTTGGTGCCCACCTCTCACCTGTGGCTCACAGAAGCTGTAGCATGCGCAGAGGCCACACCCCAGAAACAGCTTTGACTGGCCGGCTAAACCAAGTAGAGTGTATCTGACATGCCTGTGACATTCAGTACACTGAGGTTCTGTCAAACCTAGGTGTGCGAAACGTTACAAACTAGACAAATCCAGAGCAGGACAAGACACACAGAAAGTCTCTGGTCATCCAAACTCGACCCCTGGCACCTTGACCAAATCTTGCTTCTGGAAAAGGATGGGCTTTAGGGCGCGAGAGTGAAGTCGATGTGTTGCGCAAATCCTCACTTTAATCAAAATTTTCAGCATGTCACTAGTCACCCCGAATTAAAATAATTTTTTTCAACTATTATATGATAATGTGATTATACGCCTATGGGTTAGCAAAACTAACAAAAGAAGCTACCAGGGAAAAAAAAAAGGAATTTCAAGAAATCAACTATCAGAATATATTTAATTATACTACTTATGTTAAGTCTAAGGGCAACAAAAAATAATATCGTAAATTTAACTATCTTAACTCCCTGCAGACGGCTTACAAAAAAATGGTACTCTGGTGTACCATACTTTTGACATTAAATAAAACTATTTAAAAATTATTTTTTTTAATGAAATATGCTTCCCTATGAAATATAATGAAGTTAAAATAGTTTGGTGCAAAAAAAAACTTGCAAATTCTATTTATATATTATTTCTCGTTCATTATAAAAACGTAAATACGAGTAAGATGGTGCGACGCCATTTTGGATTTTAGAAAGCCACATGCTCGTTGACACTCGCTAAAACTAAGCCGAAAATGGACTCAGATTCGGATTATCAGCCTGAAACTGATGTAGATTCAAGTGATGATGAAGCCTGGGAACTCATTGACTCTTCAGATGATGAGAATATTCCTCCGAACAGCACTTTGAATGCGACTCAGCTAAACGTGTAAGTAACCATTATTTTTAGACCTAGGCTAAATCAAGATCCATCTTCTAGATCTAGAGATCTAAAACGTATCAATGTATAATTGAAATTCTATTCTTTTAATAATTATTAGTTAATCCCATTGTTTTATTTCATAAAAGAATATTTAGTTTGAAAAATATCAAGCCTTCTGATAAGCTCATCTATGCTAGTCATCTTTGTTTACATGATCAGCTGATTCAAGCCTTTGTTACACTTTGTAGCTTGTCAGCTGTTTGATTTCTAATTATTATACAAATCTAAAGCATTTTAAATCTAGAACTAGAAATATAATTCTAAAAGTTTTTTTAATTTTGTAAATACAAATTACATTTTTCAATTTTCCTATTTATTTTTTTTTTATATCAACAGAAACTATGGGTATGATGTGCTGGACACTATGCCAGAGGCCCCAGCAAGCTTTCTTCCAGAAAGGGTTCCTGGTATCCAGCTTGACCAGGTTAGGACACGAGACTCTGCTAAACAATTTTTCAGAGCTATTGACTTTTTCACTTTATTTTACAATGGATATTGTTTTACAAATATGTCAGTACACCAACACCTATGCAACTGAACATGGACTGCAGAAACCTAGTGTGTTCCAGAGTTGGTATGAACAAAGTGTAACAAAGGCCTGATGAATTCTACAGATTCTGTGGACTGATCATGTATGCTGGAATTGTTCAGGTCCCCAACATTGAGCGATTCTGGTCAACCAAATCTTTGTACAATGGACTTTGGGCAAGAGCCTTTATGTCACGTGACAGATTCAAGGCAATAATGTGTTTTATTAAAGTGTCAAATCCACTTACAGAGGATCCCAATGATAAACTCTGTAAAGTGAGAATGTTAACGACATACATTAGAATGAAATGTATAAAGCTTTACCAACCTCATCAAAATGTCTCTATTGATGAAAGAATGGTTTGGAATAAAGGTAAATATGCATTTCGACAATACATTCGAGACAAGCCAACAAAGTGGGGCATGAAACTGTGGATCCTTGCTGATTCTTTAAGTGGGTATACCTATGATTTTGATATTTATTTAGGGAAGCAGGATAATGGCCCTTTTAGATTAGCTTATGGGGTGGTGATGAAGTTAACTAAATCTATATCTAGGCAGGGGTATAGGCTTTTTTTTGATAACTTTTATACTAGTGTCCAATTATTAAAAGATCTTTGGTTTGTTGGGATTGGAGCATGTGGAACTGTTCTTAGGACCAGAAAAAGTTTTCTTAATGCTATAAAAGATGTTAAAAATTTTGAACAAAAATCTAAAAGGGGAGACATGAGATGGATAAGGGATGGACAGTTACTGACAGTTCAGTGGAGAGACAATAAGACCATATCATTAATGTCGACTATTCATGATGCCAATGACAGTGTTACAGCTAAACGACGAAGTAAAACAACTGTGAATCAACCAACTATTGTACATGACTATAATAAATACATGGGGGGGTGTTGACAAAAGTGACCAGCTAATTAATAAATATAATGTACTTCGTAAAACAAATAAATATTGGAAGACTATTTTTTTCCATATGTTAGATATAGCTAGGGTAATTTCCTATATTCTTTTTCAAGACTGGAGGGATAAAAATAAAGATGTACCTGAGCTGAAAAGACCCACAAGATATGGCCAACTTAATTTTACTGAAGAATTAATTAGAGAGTTAGGAGATATAGGTATTGACGATCCTGTACCAATCGCGTCTAAGCCCCCTGTTCATTTTAAGCATGCAATGGATCCACAGTTTATGGGGTTTTTTTTCTATAAAATGATTAGTTTTAAAAAATTTGTAAAAAATTTATTGTCAATAAATCGACTTCATTTTTGTCAGTTATATACAGAATTGAATGTATTTTAATAAAATGTAAATATCATTAGCATATTTCTATTTGTTTATTTTTTGTCTTCTTTGTGAATGTGAATTATATAAAATTTTAATTATGGAAAAAAATTTTATGACAAAATTATTTCTTAAAAAAAGAAAAAATATATTTTAAAATGATTTCAAACATAGATAAATTTAAAGACCTTTCAATTTCAAACAATTTGATATATGACACTAAAAAAAAATACTGTAATTTAACAAAGTTATGCCCTGCCAAGTAACAGACCCTGAGTTGCTGACAAATTTCTAGAAAAACCTGCAGTCTGTTAAGAGTTAATGATTTTTAAGTTAAACGTGTTTAAATTTTGGGACATTTTTCTTATTATCAAGATTCTATTATTGTGCTACACAATTACCATGCTACACTAAAAAGTCACAATAGATGGCCTATGCCATGGCAGGGCGTTCAGTGATAAAATAGTTATTTACTTCTATGTAAACCACTACAACTAGATGGTTGGTTTAAAATATAAATGACATAAAAAGAATTTCAAAATTCTGATCATTGGTTCAAAAGGTATAAATTTTTTGTTTTGACCTTTTCTTTGATTTTGTTTTTCACAGATTTTTTGTTCCACTTTTGGTTTTTATGTCTTGTGTACATTGTGAGAAAATACGTTCATGGCATTCATGACCACTCCCCCCCCCTTTCCCGGCGATGTCTACATCTCTAATTCTAAGATACAGGATCTGTTATGACCATGTTCTAGTAAAAAATAATAGCCTAAAATCTAATGTATAATTAAATAAATACAAAATCAACTAAATTGTTTCTTTTTATGGCTAAATATATTGATAACCACAATAAAAGAAATATTCATTAGACCTATTTGTATAGCCGGTGGGGACAAGAGTATTGGCTGGGCCTTGTCACATGATGAACTATTGACATGATGCGAAGGGGAAAAAAGAGGGCTGCCCTAGCAATTTGATTGGACCAAAATACGAGATTATTTTCAATCAAAAGCGACGTCTGAAATTTTCTTGGGGGTCAACAGAATACGAAGATATTTACAAAGAATAAACTTCAACCTGCAAGTTTTGTACTCACTCGCTAAAGCTATCTTCAAATTTCAAACAGGAATTGTTAGGTCATCCATTTCTGCACACAGTGGTGTATCACATGGCTATATATGACACATTTACAACAGGCTTTTAAATAGAAAATGGGATACCCTAATCTCGTTTCACTGCAAAGTGGGACAAAAAAAAATACTGACGTTTTTTCAGGCAGACTGAACAGCCTAGCCATAGCTTGGCTGCTGCTCACAAACATTAGCTATATTCAGTTCTTTCGCAGTTAACAGCTGCAAGGAGAGGTGGAACTTGCTGTTTTACAGGTCAGTTTTACAGTAGTCTACTTTGACCCCAGATAAAATTACTCTCTCTCGATGAAAAAGGGAGCTGCATGTGTCGGAAGTGTGACAAAATGGTGCATGCGCAATATTTATGAGGAAGTTGGGTAGTGAACATTGTTATGTTACATTCAAATAAAGTTTTAATACAGTGAGTTGAGTGAGGTGACTGATATGCAAGACGAAACCTGGGTGGCTGACAACCATCCATTACTCTATACTTAATCTAGATTCTATTATTTTTAGAATCTATAAAAATGAACAAATTTTGGCATGAATACTACTTTTACTAGTACCAATACTAAATATCTTCATAATCAATTTAAATGTCAAATAACGCTTACTTTAACAATAACTGCCTTTCGTCCGGCGAATCTTCCTCCTAAAACCAGGACTACCTTTCCAGATTTCATAAATTTACCCATCGCTGTTGTCAGCTGAAACTATAAAAAGTGTGTTTTATTTACATTCTACGGAGCTCAAGAAACATATATTAGCTAACGAAGTATGTTAAAATATACATCTAATATTTAAAAACATACAAAGAAATGCTAAAATATGATGTTTATTTATTAATTTTAGTCTTCTTCGTTGAGATAGTTTTGGATTTTAAATATATATGTATTTAAATTCTAAAAATTACCTAGGCTTCGGACCGGAAATAGAAAAAGAACGAATATTGTCAATTGCCAGATAATTGTCAGTACAACGACAATACAAAAAGCATGCCCTTTGGTACTTGTACGATCAAGATCAAAATTTTAGATGTACAGCTACGAAGAATAAGACAGAAATTAAATAAAATGTACTTAAGTAAACTTTTTAGAATGTTTTTTTATTATTATTAATTATTAAATAATTTGAAAAAGTTATTTTCAAACACAGTAAGTTGCACCAAAGAGTCAAGACTTAGGTTCTAGTTATACTGTATAATGCAGACGTTACTTCAAAAAATACTTCTAGATAATGCATATTATTATAGGCCTACTTGTAGACTCAATTATGGTATACGAAAAGAGATCTTGATTATGTAAACGTGTCATACTTACTCAGACTTTGTAATGTTGGGACATGTGTAATGGACCTCCCGTTACTAATTGATAAGGCCCATAGTTAGACTCGCGCTCCTGCAGCTGGGATGAAAAGACATGAAAGAGCACTTTCCAACTTACAATTTACTTACATATATACTCACACTAAAATTATTTGGTTTCTCATCATGAAAGTCTAGCGATCTAGATCTATATACTAATCCTTATAATTATTTTTTTTTGTTTCGTCAATTGTAGCCCAAAAAGAACAAAAACATATAGAGGCCTATATTCTTCTTGCCTCCCCCACCCCACCTAATAGAAATGTACCCCATCCAAATGAACAATCGACTCCCCAACACACTAAAAAAAAAGAAAAAAAAGTCCTACACTCCTATTATTTTTTTACTCTCTCAGCTTCTAAAGATGGCCTAGATTTAGCTCTAGAAACGTTGCCTTTCGCATTTAGTAGGCCAACACAGAAACACATGTATATATTCATACAGATAGTTTGTATTTTTTTAAAATATCCATTTGTTTTTGTAAAGTTTTTTTACTACCTAATTTAATAACAAGATTAAAAAGAAATAGGTTGCATTCAGTTTCAAAATTCTCTGCATACACAATCATAGATCTGCATAAGCCAATTTATGCGCCCTAATAATGCATTTCAGTATTTCCGGGGAGAAAAAAGAAACATTCAATTGCAGATAATTTTGTCTAAGAACCTTTTTTTTTCACCCTTTAATGGAACTGAACAGCATTATAACGTTACCGCACTTTTGACCCTTAAGAATTAATTACTATTGGCATTGTTCATCCAAGACTCACACCTAGCTAAGACATCAGATCTAAATGTGGTGAAGACACCGAGAAACAGTCTCGGAAACATTATTATGAAAGAGGAAAGGAGTTAAGAGTCATAATATCCACTAAAAGACAGAATTAACGGCAGTCAGAATGCAACGTGATTCTAAGTGGAAACCAGGAACAGTAGTTTCGAAACATTCTAAGCTTAGATCATATAATATCAAAAGTGAAAATCAGGTGAAACAGGAAACACATCAGATAGTCTTTTGAGAAAGCAATTAGATTTGACAATAACTATGTCTTTCCAGATGAAATGTCAGAACAACTAGAAACACAAGATCTAGAGAGTCCAAGATTACAAACTACGCTAGATGTAGAGCCGCCACTACACACTGCTTCTTCTAACACCTCTAGCTAGACCACATGAAGAACCTTACGTAACACGCTCAGGCAGAATAGTTAACAAACCCAAGAGACTTAATGATTTGTGATTAACTGATTTAACATTTTAGTTGACTAATTTGTTAGTTATTCTGATAAATAGATTTTCTGAATTAAAGAAGAGCGATGTAACCATAGATGTAACATATTGGTATTATATTTGTGGTGGGTTTGGCACAGAACAAACTAAATGACATGACGAAGGCAACTCGTAGGACGATTCCAAACTGTTTATTATACATTAAAGACCTGCAGCCATACGTAAACACATGGTGTAGAACCAGGCACAAATGGGAGTGGAGACGACGTAGGTCCAGTAACATACGGACACCACAGTGACAAAAGATGCCGGTAGAATGGACAGTGACCACGTTGTCTGCCTTTTATGCGCGGACACAAGGTGCCATCTAGGGGGAAGGGTCACGTGGATATGGGTATGGCCGGTGTTTCCTGAAAAGGTATCCACTCCACTACATATTGGTATTATATGTACATTTGCACACTAGCGCGTCAGTGCAACACGGTACCGCTTGTGTTTACGTAATAAATGGAGTTCCTAATACGTCTTCCCCATAGACATAAATAAATATAGACTGGCCGATAAAAGAGTTTTATGAAATGAAAATTTGTGACTTGCAATTTTGTGTACTTTATTATACAGCAGTGTAGTTTTGTTTAATCTCTTAGACTGAAGATCAAGCAACTTTTCAGAATTCGGAAATCCAACAACAATAGATGTACATGTTTTCAAGTTACATAAAGTTATTTCCTTATTCCAGTCAATATCTATTGATGTCTATGGTCTTCCCCTCTTAAACACTAGTTTTTTTTTTTTGTGTAATGCAAATATTCTACAGGATTTAATACAAATTAGATTACATAACTGCTTTGTTTTTTTATTAAAGTTTTTTTTTATTTTGCTTATTTTATTGTTTCATATAGACCGTAATAGACATATCGTTAGTGTGAACCTACTCGAGTGAATTTGTAACGGGGCCTTGAACTAGCACTACTGATTTCCCGATGCTACGAGTTAGTATTGTATGCAGTAGCAGCAGTAGTCTGTAGTAGGTAGCAAAATTGTTTAGTTCGTATATCCAGTTACATGTGCATAATTGGGTTTGTCGGTTCGTCGAGAAATCACAAGATTACCTCGCCAAGAAGTCATTCTCAAATCACATTTAAAATCTTAAAACTTGAAAACCAGTGACCAAACATGGATCGAAAAGAAGCGATATGTTGTACTTATTATTTCAGTAATATCAACTGTTTGAGAACCATGTAAAGAAGTATTCAATCCAAAAGAATTAAGATTGGAGTTGGAGGTTGGAATTTGGGTAAAATTTCATATAGTCTCTAAGTCAACCTACATATTGAAATACTACACGTTACAGAAGAATACCACGTTTGTATTCAGATTTCGTTGCATTATTGAACTTTATTTGTTACTAGCTGGATGTGACCGAGGCCTAAGGGCCCTAAATTGGGTATTACTGATCTACTGGATTGAATTTAGATCTATGTCAATCATTCCGAAAGTTTCTTTCAGATTTTTATTTTGCCACGAAAATAAAAGTAGAGTTTGAAAATGGGTTTGCCCGATCAACCGACATATCAAATATAAAATACTGTGAAAACGGGTTTACCCGATTTGTTAAAACGATTCTTTTTTTAATAGAGATTCAGTTATGTAGGCCTACTTTTTGTTTATTTAGGGTCCTCAGATTGTGGGATTGACAATAAGTATACACTACGGTCTCCGTTATGATCCAAAAAAGATCTATGCCAAGTTTTATTAAGATTTGTCAAAAGGTTTAGATTTTTATTCTAGACATACATACCCACTGTTATAACCCTGCCATGCACACCGCCATCCAAGCTGGGCAGAAGGTGCACACTATCCGAGACTTGATTGGGAAGGATGTCGACAATAGAGAGAGAGAGAGAGAGTGAGAAAACGATTTCCGCCCAAGTCTAGAATCGATATGAAGATGCTGTGTTCAAGGCAGATGCCATATGTGTTTGTCATGTCTCCATGTAAATAAACACTATGTCTCGTTGAGTTGCCTCCCTTCAGTTATTACACTATATACGCCTTACTTTCTGCTTTATATTATAGATAAGGGCAGGTGCTAGGTACCAATAGATGCACATCATATGACACGCTACTTGTTGGCCGGTTCGTATGGTAATGCTAAGGACGACTTCGACACACAGTCCGACCCTGGTATGGAAGGTGGTGTGATTGTCTGTGTTGGTAGTTTCTGATATTCGTAATGTCGAAACTTGTCTTTGTGAGTTGCGGACTCGTTGAGGGCCCACTTCTGACTCCTTCTGAGTTTGTGTAAGAACATACTCGTTCTTCTGTTCTTTTACGTTTGATTTCCATGGAACGCCAACAGCAATTGAGTCGCCAGTAAATAAAGATTATCTATAAGCTGCTGATTGTGTAAAACTACACACCAATTAATATATATATATATATATATATATAAGAGTACAGACGAGTTATGGCGATAAGGTGGAAGAAACATGGGGCCTAACCAGTGCCTTCATTGAAATCCTTGAAACTAGATCTATGTCAAGATTTATGGGGTAAAAAATCAATAACTTATCCTTTCAATTCGTTGAATGGCTCTTCTCTTTTCCTTTTGAAATAAAGTCAAAGCAACCACTTAAATAAACAGAGACCATTAGCCTATCATTTGTTTTCACATAGGGAAGGGGCGGGAAGTGACAAGCAGTGAAGCGAAACGTTCAAAAGAATGCACATGCAAGCCCATTCATGTTGCCTCAACATTTAGAATCTAGTTGAAGCAAGTAAAATGTAAAATACTTTTTAAAACATTAATGAAAGCTTATATTGAGTGAAAGGGCATCAATTATTTGAATCAGTCATGTAATTAATTTTTAATAGATCTAGACTATTGCAGACTAACAATAATAAATTCGTGCGATAGAAAATATTTGTAGGGAATTGTTTAAGTTTAAGCAGCTTTCATGTTTATACCAGGTTCAGTGCGCTATGGTCTTATCCTATCTAATATAATAGGCTACTTTTGTGGACCAGTTGGAGTGTGTGTGTGTGTGTGTGTGTGGATCTGGGAGGTTTCCTTGCTACATTTTCAAACTCGAGCCTCCACAAAGGAAGCAGTGCTGAATTTACCTATAGGCAAACTATAAGCTATAGGCCTAGATGAAGGCACCCGACAGATTGGGGGCCCGACACAAAATATCCAAATTATCAATTGTCACATTTGTTTTTAAAAAAATATCGATAATTTTTTAAATCAAATGCCTATAATTTCGTTTTTTTTAAATATTTATTATTATTATTATTATTATTATATAACAGAAATAGAGCGTGTAATATCTTTCACCTATGT